TYWRTTMWTWSTKWTTAGTYTTRGTGTCTTTAGGGTTTAATTCTTCATTGTTTCCAGGCATTGCTAGGGTGACGGATGGTTTTCCTTGGAAATCACCTGCTATTCTCTGGAATCTTGAAGAGAAAGGAKTTATTTTATTGTAAATACATCAKTGAAWTWGGCTGGAAGGGATCTCTGGAGACCWTCCAGCCCAACCAGGTTCACCTGGAGCAGGTGACACAGAACAMATCCAGGWGTGCTTGGAATGAMTCCAGAGAGGGACAMTCCACACCTCCCTGGRCGGCAGTTCWGTGCTCTACCACCTTGTGGAAAGATGTTTTTCCTCACCTTGAGCTGGAATTTGTTGTGTTTTATTTTATGCCCATTGCTCCTCCGCCAAACAGAGCCTGGCACCATCCTGTGACCCGCCTTTGATAYACTTACATGCATTAATGAGATCCGATATCAATCTCCTCTAGACTGCGCAGTGTTGTTTTAGTTTAGATATATTTATGATGTTTCACTGTAAATAAACAAGGCACCGCCGCTGTTCCGGCTCCCCTGAGGGCACAGGAGGCCGCTGCCCTCAGTCCGAGCGGCGCCAGCAGGCGGCGCCAGCGCGCAGCTCCCTCGCGCACGGCGCGTCCCAGCCAATAGCGTGGCGGCGGCGGCGCGTCCCAGCCAATGGCGTGGCGGCGGCGGCGCGTCCCAGCCAATAGCGTGGTGGCACCGGCGCGGCTCGGCCAATGGGGAGCGGCGGCGCGGGGCGGGCGGGAAGGCGCTGATCGAGCGGGGGGGCTCCGGCGGGAGGCGGCGCCGCCGCAGCGCTCAGGGAGCTCGGCCCCGCCGCCTCACCGCGCTCCGCCGCCGCGCTCCCCGGCCCTCCGGCCCCGCACCGGCCCCCGCAGCGGCTCTCCATGTACGACAACTTGTACCTGCATGGGTTTGAAGACTCGGAGGCGGTGAGTGGCGCGGGGGGCGCGCAGACCCGCACGGGCGGGCTGGGTGTCGGTGCTGTGGGTGAAGCAGCGGGGGTGATACCGTGCTGCCCCAATGATGCCGGGACGGGCTGTTGTGGTTCTCTGGGGAATGATCCCTCTCAAACATCCCTCTCAAAATGGTTCTGTGTCCGCACGGAGCCCCCGGTGCCGCGGTCAGACGCCGCGATTCGGGAGCTTTTCCCCGCCGCTGTCCGAGGGGGTGTTTTTGGGCATCGGGCTCGCCGCGGCGATGGACACGCCGTTCCATATTAAACAGGGATCCGTTACATAAGGCGTTGTGGACAGCTCGTAAAATACACAGATAACAACATAATATAGAGTGTACGTCAATGCAGACGTATGTATGGTATGATGTGGTGTCCTCTGGAGAATGGATGGGTCCTGCATGGCTTCGGATGAGGAATTTTTTGCTGCCTGTGTCGGTGTAGGTCTGGAAGTGCAATCCTTCTCAAGTGTTGCCTCACAACTTGTTTCAGCATCCCTTTATTTCAGGGAGAGAGGAACAAGCACTGTGCAAAACTGACATTAAATGAACGCAGTGCACCATGTCGAGAGGAGATGCTGTGTATTGGAATCCTTCCGAACTGGGTGTTTGAATTATTTCAAAGCTGTGCTGCTTAGAAGCCTGCAGTGGTTTGGGTTGGAAGGGTTTAAAGCTCATCTCACGGGCAGAGAAACCTTCCATTAGACTGAGTTGTTCCAAGCCTGGTCCAGCCTGGCCCTTGGATGCTTCCAGGGCTGAGGAAATGCTTTGGGTGAATTTAGAAATTCCTGCCCATTTKGTATTCATGCTTTAACTTTTCYTTTGTGTTTTCTCTCACTGCTGCTGCTCACAAGCTGTCRGGCCAAGTGCAGATGAGTGTGTTGGTTCCTTTAGGGATGTCTTTTGGGATCCACCTGGATGTTTCTGTAAACCACAGCGTGAATTCTTGGGAGCTGTTCTCCATCCTGAGTGTGTCTTGGGCTGGTTTAAAGTCCTTCAATAAAGTGTAATTATGCTCTTAAGGAGACAGCCTAAAAGTACAGAGGAAGGGTAAGAAAATTGAGTTGCTGGATAGGGTTGGTGTAGAAGAAATATATTATTTATAAGTAAGTCCTATAGAGAATGCAGGTAAATGTGTGGTGGGATTTAAAGATGCTTTCGAGATGCTCAAGTCCAGGTATTCCCAGAATCCCAGGGGATTGGAAGGGACCTCTGGARATCACAGAATCCARCCYCCAGYYAAGGCTGAGTGCATCYAGMTGGGTTTGCAATGTCTCAAGAGGGAGACTCCACAMACTCCCTGGGCAAAGCTCCARAGCTGGGCCACCCTCTGGAAAGAAATTCTTCCTCATGTTGAGGTGGAACTTCTTGTGGTTTAGTTCATATTTCAGTAAAGATCTCTTCCAAGAACATTATTTGGGAAAAGCAGCTTTAATGGCAGCAGAGACCTGTTACARAAACATCTGGGTTAGGATTTGTGCTGGGAGAATTGTGTTAATAGAAGAGAGGARCTTGGTCTTTAGCTGTCCACTTGGAAGGATTGGGATGAAGAAGTCATTTCCAGGTTCCTTAATACTCTCTGAAGTAGTTTATCATAAAGCTGTTTACAGCTTTTTTAATTTTACAGCCTCTCTGAAATTGAGAATGCTTTTGATAGGCTTAATTTCCAGAATCATAGGAATGGGTGACAATCCCACTCTCATTAATAAAAATGTCCTAAAAGCAAACCTTAAAAGTAGTCTGGATCTCACAGTCATATGGAAAAACCAGAGCCCATGAACCCCAAAGGCTCAGGCACAAAAAGCAGTCAAAAATTCCCCAAGTGTCTGTTTGTTTTATGCTCCTGAACCACTTGCTTAAAACATTAAACCTTATTATTTTAGCTCCTGACTCAGGGACTGGGAATGCCTGCTGAGACAATATCCTGGCAAACAGGTAGAGGGGATGGGTCACATGAGTGCCACTTTCTGGCCAGAGAGAAGCAAAAGAATTAAGGCAGTGGAAAAACAAATTGTGGTCGAATTCTGCTTCCCTGCGGTGAAGAGCAAATAACTGTGAGCGTGCAGAGATGAAAGCAGRGCCTCTCCATTGTTCTGGTTTAGGACCTGGAAGGCTTCTCCTGCAGCTGGAGAGAGCTGGAGCAGCCACGGGTTTGGATCTTCCATCCTCCCCTGAAGCCCAGGGAGCTGTGAGGGAGGGCTGCTGCTAATTGCAGTGCTTCCAGCACGGAATAAACCACAGGCAGATGAGTCATTAGGACAGGAATGTCTGCCTAAAGTGGGCATTTGCCCTCAGAAAACCCGTGCAGACGATGGGTGCATAAATCAGCTTGGATTTGTATGAAATCCAGGCAGTGGATGGCACTTACACCCGGTAAATGTGCTCAGTTTTAGAAAGGTGCTATAAAATTTGTGCCTGATTTCTCCTGGTAGGTGATACACAGATTAACTGCTTAGAGAACTCCAGGAGAAGCGTGCAGGTAAAATTTTCCTGTTAAAACCAGGAACAAACGTGGTTTTTAACAGTGAGCAGATATATCCATGATTTTTTGTAACAGCAGCTCTTATAATGTGTTGGTGTGTGTATGTGTACATATATAAAAAACATGCAAAAATACCATTTTTATTGATGGATATATAAAGAAATGAGYGTGTGCGTGGCATTACAGTCCATTAGCAGCTGTGATGATTAACGTGAAGTGGATGATGCAGTAGCTGGTGTGAGGCTTTTTGGAGGAGGAAAAATTACACTGCTGAAGCTGAGAAAAACTCCCAGTGATTGTAGACAAAAAGTCATTTCCACATTTAGGCAAAGTTCAGGGATATGGAAATAAATAAGTTCTTGAGGGACAAGTGTCCTCATCAGGAGCACAAAAAGGTCCAAAGTGCATCATTGTAGGGAGAAATATCTTCCCAGTGAAGATTTTTGCTTGCTTTGTTGTCCTGCCTTTTTGGATTTTTAGACTTTTTAAAAAATTCTTTGGGTAGTTCYAAGCAGAGTCACCCTTTTGGGAATTAAAGCTTGTTTGCCTTGTAGGGAAGTATTTCACATTCTTGATCACAAAAGAATAGGATGTAAAACCCCTTTAGCACAGGGGTTTGAGACAGGGGGATCCACTGGCTAAGCAAATAATAAATGAATATTGTTTTATTTTCACAGTAGTGACCTCACTGTTGTGTGTCTGATGGGGAGGGATTGGAATCTGCTCCAGAGGGCAGTCCAGAGTTTCTCTGATTTTGGGAAAGACTCCACCTTTTTCAGAAACAAACTTCARTGAAACCTCCCCATAGGAAATCACTTTTTTTTTTCTGCTGTAAAATTATATTTCTATTAAATCAGAATTTAATAAAAAGAATTAYCTCCAGGAGTTAGCAACTCTGTGATGCAGAGTCCATCCCAGCCCCAGGAAGGAACCCAGGCTCAGGTCAGTGTTTTAACTGTCAGAACAGTCCCTTTTAGTCTGTTTGCTTCTATTTATCCCTTCAGAGCAACACCTGAGCATGTGAAACACCTTTCCTCACCTCTGGGGCTGTCACTTGAAGGTTTGTCAGCGTGTGAGAGAGGTTTTATCTGGGGTGCTTCAGCGGCTTATCGAGCTGGGTGGAATAGCTGCCTGGGGATTGGGGTGGCTGGCATGGGACTGGGGGTGGCTGGTGTGGGATCAGGAGGTGGTTGGCATGGAATTGGGGGTGGTTGGCATGGAATTGGGGGTGGTTGGCATGGAATTGGGGGTGGTTGGCATGGAATCAGTGAGGGGATGGCGTGGGCAGGTCCGGGAATTGCTGGGAGGGGCCGGCAGGGAGGGAGGATGTGGTGCCAGCCCCAGCGTGCTCCCTGTGCCTTCCCCCTCGGCCATCCTGCTCTTCCCAGGAGGGACAGCTCTTCCTCCTCCTCTCCCAGCCGTTTCAAACGGAATTTCAATTCCACCTGGTAGGAGAGTTCATGTTTAGATATTGATTGGATTGCCGTGTGGTCCCTAAGGGACAAGGAAAGGTGGCTCTGCTTGCCCTGTGCATCCCTGTTACAATAGATTTTTTAGTACCTTTTTTCCCTGTTTGCTCTTTCTCCAGCATAGCCTCTCCTGAGCTGTACATGCACTTCTTTCCAAGACTTCTTTTAGCTGTTTGACCTGTCTAACCCTGCCTGGCTTCCCYTGGCAATTCCCATCCCTGCATCCASAGCCTCCCTCCTGTGCTGGTACCAGAGCAGGCTCTCCTTTCACCAGGGAAGCAGCATTTCCCTGCTTTCTAAGGCACAGTGGTGCCCTTCAATCAAAGGTACTATGTACATTCATATCTAACTCTGTCTGTGAGAGTTAGACAAACATTTTTGTGGGATTCATGCCTGCAAAAGTATTTTAGGTGCTGAAAGTGCTTTGGTGTTTATMAGGGCTAAACACCAGTGAGACCATCTCTGGTTGCTGATGGTCCCAGTTTGCCATAAAAAGAGCCATGAGCAGGACTATGTGTGGTGCTGCATTCTAGGATCTGTCTCCAGTTACTCTGTGCAGTTCTTGAGAGAGCATTGCTAAGAATTTTTAGGGAAAAGGTGATGAATAGTGAGAAAACAGATTGCATTCACCATGTGAATGGTCAGCATCAGTGTTTTGAGGATGCTGTACTCTACTCCTTTTTCAGTGACATTACTCCTCAAACCTGTCATTTTTTCTGCTGCCAGTGCACCTGAGACAAGAAGATCTTTGTGTGCTGTCCAAGTAGAAAAATGTGATTCTAGGAAAAAAAAAAAAAACGTTTGGTAGGGAATTTCATATCCAAATGTTGATTGGATTTGTGTCTGRTGCCTCTCTGATCACTAAAGGAGGAGGAAAGGTGGGCTTTGCTTGCTCTCTATGTCTCAGATTTTGTGGACTGAGTGACAATCAAAGAGTATGTTTAGAAGTATTTGTCATCTTGTCTGTTCAGGGAACATGTCCTGTGATTTGTAACACGCAGTTCATTCTGTAGAACATCTCTGTGCA